TGTTTCCATTGAAGGACAGGTATAATGCTATCCGTGAGGGTCGCATTCCATGCTACATGATATCGGACGATCCTCCAAAGCCTGAAGACGAGGATGCTAAACCGGTGGAGGAGTTGATTGACAAAGGTCCGATGGAAAGTGGCAAAGCACTCAAGGTCCCTTCGACTGATGGAATGGTTGATCATTCAAAGAAGGATGCATTTGAAAGTGGGATTTATAATCCCGGTGAAGACGAAGAGGGCAAAGGAGGTTCCTCATCATCCTCATCCGGTAAGCCCAAAGATCCACCCAGGGATCCTTTCGAAGGCGTTCCACCTGAAGACATGGTTGAGGTTGTTGATCCTGTTACAGGTGAGGTGACCTCAATCCCAAAAGAGGGGTCATCATTCTACAGCGCGGGGGGATATAAAACTAGGAAATACAAAGGCACTTCCAAACCACCGGATGTTCCATCCTTTCTTTGGAAGGCCGCTTCGAAGGCAGCTCGTGAAAAGGAGATTAGAAGATACGAACTCGAAGAAGCGAGAAAGAAGTTCAAAGCCGCTGCTGCAAAGGTCAACAATCTGAATACCAACGGTCCTTCTTCCCCGAGGGATCGGGTTGACCAAAATGATGATGTTCCTGCTATGCCAGTCAAAGAGGTGATCAAACATGACCACCGTGACAGACTAGCCACAGCACATGAACTCGTAAAAGATATGATCTTGAACGCACTTGTCGCCAGACCGGTAGGTCCAAAGGAGGTCGGTGAGAATCCTGCCGCTCAGGCCTCACTCGATCTTGAATGGAACAAGCTTGAGAGCAAACCAGCCTGGTGGTATAACACTGTTCAGGAATGGGAACATGTTGCTAGTGAAGCTAGACGCACTGGTGAAAAGGTTCACGTAGGAAAGATCTTTGAACTATGTGTTGAGAAGGGTAGCGAATTAGAGAAAGGCAACCCCCTCAGAAAGTTCAAGGGTAGAACGGTGTTCCAAGGCAACAATGTTAAGGATGAGTCTTCTGAGACGGCATTGTTTGCAGAACTTGGTTCATCGCCTGCGAATATGGAAGCAGCCAAAGCGTTGGATTGCTATGGATCTGCTCCGGGGAACCGGATTAGCCAGGGTGATGGCAAGCAGGCGTACACCCAAACCACACTGAAAGGCCCAGAGACATGGATTCGCATTCCGCGAAACCGTTGGCCTAAGGAGTGGGTTGGTAAATACAAAGACCCCGTTATCAGGCTCGTCTTGGCATTGTACGGACACCCTGATTCGGGGGGCTTTTGGGAGCGACATTGTGAGTCGTGTCTGATCAAGGTAGGATTCAAAGCACTCCACCCTGAGTGCTGGCCATCCATGTTTTGGCATGAACGATTGAGACTGCTCCTCGCGGTATACGTCGACGACTTTAAGTTGGCGGGACCCAGGGAAAACCATGACGAGGGATGGAAGCTCATAGGTGAGCACATCGAAATGGATCCTCCCGAAGATGTCGGTAGGTATCTTGGATGTGAACATATCGTTCAACATGAGGTTAAGCTTCCTGTTGAGCGTCATCCCTTCGCCCATGTTTTCGATCATTCCATCCAGGACCCCTCAAATGTGCCTGCAGCTTCTGTAGCTAGGACTGAGGACTACTGGACGCATTTCCCTGAACATGGTACGTTCGTTCACCACCACGTTCAACCTAGAAAGCGATTTGATGTTCGGCCGACTGACGCTCTAGGATTTGAACCCGGTAACATTCGTTGCACTATCGCGTTACCATGCACATCGGGAGATGGTGCCAGGGATCCGGGGGGAGTGTACTCGGAACTTTGGCATGATTTGGAGACATGCAAGCAAACTGGACTTCCGTTTTGGTGGACAGGGGAAACCTACTTCATCGACCGGAGTGTGTCCAACCCACGGGTCGCCGTAGCTGCAGTCAAAAGACTTCGTGACAAAGGTCAGGCAAAGAAAGCAGCAAGGGCTCAGGGATTCACGTTCCTTGACCAACTGGAAAACAACCAGCCA